CTCACACACACACACACACACACACACACACACACACGCTGCCCATGATGTCAAGGCCCATTCTGTACTGCATCCCCCACTAAAGATGCCAGCTGCCTCCAGATCAGGGCAGGTCCAGTTTTTATGATAAAACCAAAAGGTTACTGTAGAGGGTTTTCATTTTGGGGTTTGGTTGTTGTTGTTTTTTTAAGTGTATTTTATGATGAGAATATATCATCCCTAAAACTTTTAGTATTAAAATGATCCTTCTTTCATGCATTGATGGTAATAAGAGCAACCATACTTCTGGAGGAAACTCTTGGTCTATAAAATCTAAACATCTGGGAAACATTGTCCTTCGTTTAATACATCTCCTTAATGGCAATTCAGGACCTTTAATTTCTTCTACATAATTTTCCACAACATACTATACTGAACAACTCTGTTATAAGGCAAGGCTAACAGACCACAAAAGCCTTTCAATCTACATATGGTTTCCAGGTTTGCATGTTTTCATGTCTTCATGTAGGCAAGCCCTCGTCACAGTAGTTTCTAACCATATCCCTCTCTCCTGGTACCCTTTCCTGCCCATCAAAACCTATGTCAAGAAAATTCCAGCTCACAAAGATCTCATGTGCTACAGAGTACAACTTACTTCTTAGGGTGTGCTTGGCTATAACATTTACATAAGTACATCACCTTTCTTACATGATGCCACTAGGTAAATCCAAACCACTAACTTTCAGGTTAGTAGTTGAGATCAAACCATTTATGCCACCCAAGGACCTCAATTCTGCCAAGCACCCTGTAAACAACGACTGCAGCTGTCGAGGATGCTAACACGTGCCTGCCTAGATCCTGACAAGGGCCAGAGGGCAGCTAACCAATTGTTTACATCGCTATAACAGGACTCCACTAGCCCCAGAACTGCGCCTCACTATCGAGAGTCAACTTCCCACTTCTGTGGTTGTTTTGTTTTTTCAAAACACAAAACAAAATCAGCTCTTTCTAAGTTCATGAGAAGGTCAGGGTCAAGTAAATGTTTAGAAAATAATGATGGCAACATATGTACAAATATGCTTTATACAACTGATGTATGGATTGTTACAAGAGCTGTAAGTGCCCCCAATAAAATGATCCTTTATTTTACTTAAAAATAAGAACTTTACAGCCTTCAAAAATAAACCCAATCCTTTTTCCACATGATATCATTTCCAAACTCTGAAACTAATCAAATCAAATCCTTTTTCTTCTTCCAACAAACCTCATCTCAGCAAATGGCATCACTATTCACTTATCACTTAGGCCAAAAATGATAATCAACTTTGACTCCCTCTCTTCTCTCATGCCTAATCATTAGCAAATCATGGTGACACTACCTTCAAAGCAGGGCATGAATCTGATCATTTCCCACCCCTTCTATTACTACCATTACTAATGCTGCCAGACTCTCCCATCTTATCTCCATTCTCACCGTCTTATGACCCATTTTCCACAGAGCAGCCAAAGTCCCTCCATCTCTGAGCCCACTATCACTCGTAATCCCTTCACACTTTTTTATTTTTCTTCATGGAATTTTTCACTACATGATATTAGTGCTATGTATGGGAGTTTGCATGTGTGCCATTCATGCACATAAGGGGGCTTTAAAAAGTTTGTAGAAAAATGGAATTGGAGGATAATGGAATTGTTTAAGCCCCATTGTATATGTGTTCCTCATTACAGAAAATAAATTTCATTAGGCCAAGAATTTTCTTTCTATAACTTCATGTATTCTATATCTAATCACATATGTGCATGTATAAATATAAAAGTGGCTATTTGGTCAGCTTGGTTTAATAAAGACTTGAATAAGTAATGATAATCCCTGGTCTTCTCAAGTACCATGTCACCAAGGCTTTTCACACCACCCCTAAAAGGCACGATTTCAATCCCTTCACCATTCTGATCATTCTGCTTTACACACACCCCAACAAGGTAACTAATCTTTTTCCTTTTTTCAAAAGTGATGCTGAATACTGACTAGTAGTTGAATCTTAAAATTTATATCTTTCTAGGGGGAAAAATGTTTTAATATTTACTATCATCTGAGAGTTTGCATGCCAACTTCAACTATGTAATCATTTTGATACAATGCAACACTATGGTAGAAAAATATTTTCGGAAAAAAGAACTTTAAGGGAAAAAATAGAAATCCCTTCATTAATTCTTAAACTAGACAAAGAAAAACCATCCAGATGAGGGAAGGTCATCAGCATGCGGCCATAATGGTATCAAAAAGATTCACAGCTCATGTTGCCAATTATTGTTACTGTTATTAGGTGCCAACAAGTGAGTTCTGCCTCACAGTGACCAACTGTGGACAACAGAAAGAAACACTGCCAAGCCTGTGCCATCTTCACACTTGCTCTTAAGAGTGGGCCATTCTTGCAGCCACTGTGTCAGTCCATCTTAGACGGCCTTCCTCTTTTTCACTGCCCCTCTAATTTACCAAGCATGACATCCTTTCCGGGGACTAAGCTTTCTTGATCACATGTCCAAAGAAGTCTCACCATCTTTGATTCTAAGGAGCATTCTGCCTGTACTTCTTCCAAGGCAGATTTGTGTGTTCCTTTGAAGTCCATGGTACTTTCAACATTCTTCACCAGCACCGTAATTCAAATGCATGGATTCTTCTGTGGTCTTCAATATTCAATGTTCAACTTACACATGCATGTGAGATGACTGAAAATACCATAGCTTTGGTCAGGCACACTTTAGCCCTCAAAGCGGCATCCTTGCTTTGCAAAACTTTAAAGAGATCTTGTGCGGCAGATTTACCCAATTCAATGCATTATTTGATTTCTTAATGGCTGCTTCCATGAGCATTTAATGTGAATGCAAGTAATATGAAATCTGACAACTTTAATCTGAAAATAAAACTTTCTTTCACAAATCTACAGTGTAGCTTTAAGTCACCAATGATTTAGAAAATATTTTCAATTTAGTTTACCTGTTTTTTAATGTTATCGATAATGTCCCCTCTAGTTAACTTGATTAAAACTGGCTTCTTTAGGACACAGAATAAGGCATACTTTTATACACACACACACACACAAATCATTTGATTGGGGGCTCTTACAGGTCATATAACAATCCATACATCCATTGTGTCAAGCATATTTGTACTTATGTTGCCATCCTCATTTTCAAAACATATTCCTTCTACTTGAGCTCTTGGTATCAGCTCCTCTTTTTCCCCCTCCCACCCCTACCCTCTCACCCTCGTGACCCTTGATAAATTATAATTATTTTCATATCTTATATTGATCATTGTGATTGTTTCCCCCTTTCTCCCCGCCACCTTCCCCCTACCCTCAGGGTATTGCTACTCCCATTATTTTTCTGAGGGGTTTATCTGTCCTGGATTCCATGTGTCGTGCCGAGAGCTTTTATCTATACCAGTGTACATGCTCCGGCCTAGCCAGATTTGTAAGGTAGAACTGGGACATGATAGTGCGGGGGAGGAAGCATTAAAAAACTAGAGGAAAGTTGTAGCTTTCATCAGTACTATACTGCACCCTGGCTCATCTCTTCCTTGTGACCCTTCTGTAAGGAGATGTCTAATTGTCTACAGATGGGTTTTGAGTCTCCACTCCTCACTCCCCCTCATTCACAATGATATGATTGTTTGTTTTGGTTCTTCTGATGCCTGATACCTGATCCTGTTGACACCTCGTGATCACAGGCTGGTGTGCTTCTTCCATGTGAGCTTTGTTGCTTCCTTGCTAGATGGTCGCTTGTTATAAGGCATACTTATACTGCAGTATAAAGTAATTGTTGTGAAATATCTTCCATAGACTAAAATGGCTGCACAAATATAATTTTATGAATACATGAGACATTATTGCTCAGGGTAATCTCTGGGGGGCAGAGTAAGGTCAGGTCTGATTAAGAAAGAGACTTGCCTTCAACATAAAGTCTTCTCAATCCTGTCTGATCCTTTTTTATTACAATAATAATTAATGACTCTAAAATAATACATCTTAGGATTAAAACAACTAATTTCAAAATTCTCCTACGCTGAACATTTAGATTGCATTCACTTTTCGCAATCCCTGGAATTAGCATTTTTATTCCTAGATTTTTTTGCAAGGTCTTTCTGAATGTTTCCTTAGAGAAAAATTCTGATGACTGGAATGTAACTAATGTCTGTACCTCTATTTCACTTATTATTTCTAATATAACTCCTATGTTATCCATCATGATCACTGGTGATCTCTGGCTGCAAATATGAACTCTCCCTCCCTGAGGCTAGCTTTGAGACAGCAATTGCCTATAAAGAATTGCATCTGCGGGAAGACTGGAAACACTGCAAATGTGCCTGCAGTCCTGATGGCTTAGTGGTTAGTGCACTGGAGGTTAAAACTGATGAGAGGTATGAACCCACCAGTCCCTCCACAGAAGAAAGATGAAGCAGTCTGTCCCCGTAAAGATTACCTCAGACATTCAAAGGGACAGTTTCATGTTGTACCACCCAAGCCTTTCCTATATGGCCTCTATACCCCCGTTTCTTCTCCTCACTTATTAGTTTTCTCCTGGGCCACTTCACTAAATATAGTCTTCATTAAAGGCGGTGTGAAAGGCAGAAAAATCCATCCCAAAGAAGTCTGTCCATGTCGTATTCCTCAAAGCCTGAGAATATGGCAGGAGAAAGTTTGCAAATGTGGTTCAATCAAGGGTGTTGAACTGGAGAGATTATCCTGGATTGTTTAGGTGTGCTCACTCTATTCACATGGGTCCTTAAAGGCAAAGATATTCCCTGAATTCAGAGTCAGAAGAAATGATGATGGGAACATGGTCCGAGTGATGTAATGCTATTGGCTTTGAAGATGTAAGGCAGGCCCATGAGCCAGGCAACGTGGGCAGCTTCTAGACGCTGGAACTGGCAAGAGAACAGAATCTCCTCCTCCAAGAAGGGACACAGTCCTATTAATAACTTGATTTTCACCCCTAAAGGACTTCAAACCTCAGAATTGAGAGATAATAAATTTGTGTTGTTTTGAAGTTTATGTTAACCTATTACAGCAGCAAGATAAAACAAATCTAGGCACACAGATAATGAAAAGAACTAGAACTCAGCCTGTGGCTCTAGTGTTTCCCAAGACACAAAGATGAAATTACTGAATGAAATAAGAGATACATACTGCAGAGTAGAAAGGCCACTTACACCTACCTTGTCTTTCATCTGTCTTTCTATTTAATCCCTTACTAGGTTGGGTGACAGAGTTTGCAAATCTAATTGGTAGCACCTGGGATATTCAGAGCACTACGTTTTTTGAAAGGTCAACTTCTAGTCTCTCAATCTTCTAACTCATTCAACACCTGCAACTGAGAAGATGAATCCAGTGGGGCCCACTGTCAGGCAGCCCTTTCTCTTTCCCTATTGATGGAATGCAGCTTCTGTAATTTAGGTAGGGTAAAGGTGGATAAGAGACCGAGTTCTACGGAAAGCCAGCAATGAAGAAAATCATGTGGGTGCTTACTCATCTACTGACAAAGTAGAAGCATGTTTCCTATCCAGTAGCACTTTCTTCAGCATAGCTCCCTCAGAGACTGATTGTGGAGAAGAGGACTAAGCAGCAAAATAAAAGAAACAAAACAAGTATTCCTTTATCTCCAACTATGATACCATTGTAAATACCCACAAAACTTGGCGCCTAACTGATAATGTCATTGTGGTTAGTGGCCATCATATTAGTTCCAAATAATAGTGACCTTATGTATAATAAAATGGGAAAAAAAAAACTGTAAGAATTGGTGCCAATCTTATAGGCTAATGTCTTAGTTACCTAGTACAGCGAAAATACCACAAGTGGATGGTTTTAATAAACGGAAGTTTATTTGCACACAGTTTAGAAGACCAGAAGTCCAAATCCAAGGTGCTGGCTCTAGGGGCAGGCTTTTGCTCTCTGCACACTCTGGAAGAAAATCCTTCTCTTCAATGTCTATTTCCTAGTTCCGTAGAGATCTACATGTGTCTTGGCACCTATCTTACTCCATCATCAATCCTGCCTCATTAACATCACAAGTACAATCCATTCCCAAGCAGGATTATGAACCCAGACACAAAAGTGGGGAATTACAACACACATTTTGGGGAGACACAGTTCAATCCATGGTAATCGCTTTTTGGCCCCCAAAATTAATGTCTTTCCCGCATGCAAAACACATTCACCCCATCACATTATCCCCAAAAGGCTTACATCAACCTTAAGCATAAAATCTCATCTTCTAAATCACCTAAATCAAAAAGGATGAATCATCAAGTGTATTGAATACAGGGGGGAAATTCCTGTTCATCTGAAAATCTATGAAACCTAAATTACAAATTACCTATTTTCAAAGTATAATGGTGGAAAAAGCACAATGTAACAACCATTCTCATTACAAACGGGAGAAATAAGAGATAGTGGGGACCAAGCCAAGTCCAAAATCCAGCAAAAAATTTACATCTGCGCTCAAAGCTTAAAAATAACCCTCTGTTCTCTGAGGTCATCCAGATCAGGGGTGGAGAACATTGGGCCTAAGAAATCATCAGTATCAGCTTACGTCATGTGGCAGTTCCGACCATCACAAGGAAGCAGGAAGCAGAAACAAAGGAAAAAGCACCTTCCTCCGGGCAGCAGAGAAAGTTTTCCTCTAGATCTAATACCATAAACTCAGACTTCCAGACCGTCAACTATGAGAAAAAGCATTTCTGCTTACTAAATGTGGCATTTCTACTTATAGCAGTATTAGGTAACTGAAATAGCTACGTCAGTAAATTATTACTATCTAACTAATGAAGTTCATATGAAACTACCACAGCATATACAATAAGATAAATATGAGACTTAATTATTTTCAAAGCATTCATCATGTAAACTTACCTCTCTTAATTCTCCAATTCTCCGAAGTGCTTTATCCTGACTCTGACTTAATATACCCTGAGTTACAAAGAAAAAACTGGTTCAAACAACTGTATAATAATATAGTACTGGCAAAATACTCAAACAAAAATTATTATTTTAAAGTATTACATCTGAGGAATTATTATATCCCGAGAAAGGATTGTATATATTGCAGATGTGACTATGTTGAAAAATAGTCAAAAATGAAGCCACAGTGTCATAGAGTCATTTTGTATACTGACTGTGGTCACAGTTACACATATTTATATATTTATATGAGTCCCTGCGTAGTACAAATGGTTAACGTGCTTTTCTGGTAATCAAAAAGTTAGAAGTTTGAGTCCATCCAGAGGTGCTTCAGAAGAAAGATCTAGCTACCCGGACAATTGGCCATCCCCCCACAGAAGGGTTACCAGGAAGGGGCAATTCAACCAGGGTGTAGTATAGCATGGACGAAACACACCATCGTTCCTCCAGTTCTTCAATGCTTCCCCCCCCCACTACCAAGGCCTAGTTCTACCTTACACATCCGGGTAGACCGGAGTACACATGAGGGTACAGATAAGAACTCTCGACACATGGAATTCAGGGCAGACAAAGCTCTCAGGAACAGTAGTGGGAGTAGCGATATCATGAGGGTAGGGGGATGGTGGGGACAGCGGGGGAAGGTGGGGAGGACGGGCAGAGGGAGAAAGGGGGAACCTAGCACAAGGTTGAATATATAGCTCACACACACACCTCAAGCAGGACGAATAACAGAAATGTGGATGAAGGGAGACAACGGACAGCCTAGGACATGAAATAACAACAATATATAATGGATCAAGGATTCATGAAGGACGGAGGGGGAGGGTAAAGAGGAGCTGATACCAAGGGCTCAAATAGAAAGAAAATGTTTTGGAAATGTTGATGGCAACATATGTACACAGTGCTTAAAACCAATGAATGATGGACAGTCACAAGATTTTTAAGAGCGCCCCAATAAAATGATTAATTAAAAAAAATCAGTTAATGAGTAACCCTCTGGATACCAGTTCTACTCTAACACACACAGAGCCACCATAAATTGGCACTGACTACATCTGACGGCAACCAGTCAACTGGTCAATAATCATAAAACCACTGCCACCGAGTTGATTCTGACTCATAGCAACTCTCCAAGGATCCTGCTTCACCGGGTTTTGGAAATAATAAATCTTTTTAAGTGCAGTCAGCTCATCTTTCTCCCTCAGAAAAGCTAGTAGGTTTCAACCTCCAGCCTTGTGGTTAAGCAGGCTGATGATTAACCCACTGGGCCACCAGGTTCCTTACTGGTCAATAAATAAATTTAAAACAAAAGTGTTTTCCCTAAAGCCATAAATGTAGGGTTTTGTTGTAGGCTTTCCAATACAGGTTTTTAATTAGAAAAGACACACAGCTGAGAGCTAGGAAAAACACACTGCAGTGGGTAAAAGCATGTGCTCTGAAACTGAGCAGCCATGAAATGAATCCTGACTTGCCTCCCTTCCTTTCACAGACCGTGTGAGTCACTCTTCTCAGCTTCCTTACCTAGACAAAGTGAGGACAGTACTATCAGCTACCTTACAAAAGAGCTGTAAAGACTAACCACATCAAAATACCTGCCATACAATAAGAAATCAATAAATGTTAGCTAATACAAACAGCACTGGTAAATTGTGTTGGCAAAACTTACATTTAAAATTCATTGAAGCTATTAAGATGTTTATTTAAAAATAAGGTTTTCAAGTATGCACACAGAGGCATATATACATGTATAGAAATGGATGTTGGGATAGAAAGGGGGAACCAATCACAATGATCTACATATAACCTTCTCCCTGGGGGGCAGACAACAGAAAAGTAGATGAAGGGAGACATCGGACAGTGTAAGACAGGAAAAAAATAATAATTTATAAATTATAAATTATTTGTAAATAATAATTTATAAATAATAATTTATACATTATTAAGGGTTCATGAGTGGGTGGGGAGAGGGGAAAAATGAGGAGCTGATACCAAGGGCTCAAGTAGAAAGAAAATGTTTTAAGAATGATGATGGCTTTTTAAAAAACCGAAAGAAAAAAAAAAGAATGACAGTGGCAACAAATGTACAAATGTGCTTGACACAATGGATGGATGTATGGATTGCGATGAGAGTTGTATAAACCCCCAATAAAATGATTTTAAAAAATAGAAAAGTAAGAAATGGATGTTAATCTCTTGCATTTTATTTCCAACATCCTTAGAGTTTGATGGGAGAAAGAAGAGGCTTTCTACTCTCATAAACCCACAGGGCAGTTCTGCCCTGTCCTGTAAGGGCCCCTATGAGTCAGAAAAGATTCATTGCCATTGAGTTTTGGAATTAGAAAGTTTGCCACAATGAAAGCACAGTTCTCTATCGCCTCTTAGTGGCAGTATTACATAAGTACATGTAGAAATGAACGCCACAGACAATTCACAGAAACACACCAGACCTATAAAATTTACCCTCTGAGAATGAAGTCACGGAATATAAACAAGACACTAGGCTGACTCAGACTTACCTCATATGTATAAGAAAAATATTGTCTATCTAAAATTTTTTGTAATATAATTTTCATATTTGTTATAGAAAAATTAAAAGTTAATCAGTAATAAATAACTGTTGTTACCACAGTGAATTGATTCCAGGCTAAAACCAGAAAATAATATGTTGCACTTAACAGATTTATATTTATAGAAGATCAATCATTTAACAATAATGAGAAATAACGTATATGGAAAATTAACTAATTTTATCAGTTTTTGGTTAAAATGTTGAAGTGTTTTAAATAAATATTCCTTTTAAAACACCCTCTATTTTAAAAAATAATAAAACTATACTTCACAAATAACACATCAAACTGATAGCACACTTTGAACCAGAGTAGGTATTGCCACTTAGCTCTTAGCACTATAGAGGCCTGGTGGGAAACGTCTGGCCACTGGGTCACACAGTGGGACTAAGACAGGTCATCCCGAAAAACATAATGGCATCCTCTCCCCACACACTTAACCAAGAGCTTTACAAGCAGTAATCTTAGGAAACAATTATTTTTACAAGAGAGGATGCTTGGGTTTAGACTTAATGTAATTCCAAGAAATAGAGATTTTTGCAGGTATTTATGAAGTAAAAGGGAAAACTTAGAAGGCTGAGTGTCCCTTCACTACTGAAAGAAAGAAGAGAGCTACAGACTGGGACATTCAGGAACACGTGAAAGAGATAAGCATGCTTTAAATCCAAGCCTGCTAGACACTGCAGGAGGAAACCCATCACTAACTGAGGTACAATCCTCAGACTTCCTCACTTCCTTTTGGTTTTTTGTTAGTTTGTTTTTTAAATCATTTTATTGGAGGCTCATACAACTCTTATTACAATCCATACATACATACATACATTGTGTCAAGCATATTTGTACATTTGTTTCCATCATCATTCTCAAATCATTCGCTTTCTATATGAGCCTTTGGAATCAGCTCATTTTCCCCCTCCCTCCCTACTTCCCTCTCCCTCATGAACCCTTGATAATTTATAAATTATTATTATTATTGTCATATCTCTCACACTGTCCGACGTCTCGCTTCACCCACTTTTCTGTTGTCCATCCCCCAGGGAGGAGGTTATATGTAAATCCTTGTAATCAGTTCCCCCACCTTCCCTCCACCCTCCCGGTATCACCACTCTCAGCACTGGTCCTGAAGGGATCATCTGTCTGGATTCCCTGTGTTTCCTGTTCCTATTTGTAGCAATGTACATCCTCTGGTCTAGCCAGATTTGTAAGGTAAAAATTGGGATCATGATAGTGGGGGGAGGAAGCATTTAAGAAGTAGAGGAAAGTTGTATGTTCTTCCTCACTTCATCAAAACCCCCAGTCATGGTGAAGTGAGGTTAAATGATCATATTTAGATGCATGACATTTTAATATTAAAATTTATTATTCTACGATTATTGAATGAATCACTATCACAGCCAATGAATCACTTACTTGTAGCTTTTTCTTCTCTCTATGAAGAGTTTGATAAGCTGTAACAAGCTAAAATAAAGAAAAAGTCACCAATAACTTTAGTCATTCCAAAACAAATGCAGTTAATAGTTCTAAACTTTCTAAAACATCTCTTACTGAAAATGCAAAAATAAATCAGAAGTGTTCTTTCATAGATAATTCAACCAAATTAGATGATGCACATATCATTGAAACTATGTAACACAGAAGAATGCATTTCTAAAAGCAAAATGTAATTTAACTATACATAAAAATGCTAACTGACTTCACTTTCCATGCACAGCTCTTTAAATCTCAGTAGCCCAATTCATAAGTGAGAATTACAGTCAATCTGCCTAAAGACAAGAGCCTACTCAAGCTTCTGCCACAGACCACAAACCAGCAATAGGCAGCAGCACCTGGAAGCTTCTTTTAAAAAGTAACTCATGAGTCCCACCCAAAATTTACTGAAACAGAATTAGCAGGAGGGATCAGCGGTAAGACATGGTGTTTTAACAAGTTCTCCAAGTGGTTTTTTGCATTGAGATTTAACAGACCATGTGTTTGATCTCTAAAAATTTCTTCTCACTATAACACAGTCATCAGCTCAATTCTGATTTACAGTGACCCCATATAATGTTTACACGACTGTAAATCTTTACCGGAGGAGACAGCATTCTCCCTCTAAGGAACTAGTAGGTCTGAGTCGCTGACCTTGGGGTCAGTAACCCAACATCTAACCCACAGCAGCAGCAGGGCTCCTTTTCACGGGTTATAGGACCTGTGAAAATCTCTAAAGTTGCAAACTCATAATCAGGTTAAAACTGGTTATTCAGAACCTAAAGAAATGTTTAATCATTTGACATAAACATTCTGGCACAACTTGATAAAATTATATATTAACAAATCCTTGTAAACCTATAAATGAATCAACTCAGTAGCAGTGAGTTAAGTTTAGAAGTACTAGAGTTTTCTGAAAGGCTCCCTGGTGGCACAGTGGGTCAAGCAGCTCAACTGTATATGTGGATTATGTCCCAATAAAAATGTTTTTAAAAAAAGAAAGAAGGAATGAATGTAAAGAAATAAGTAAATAAAGTATACAGTTTGAGGAAAGAAAAAATGGAACCTGTTCCCATCCAATTAATTCCATTTTATCACTATCTTGTAGGACAAAGTAGAACGACCCCATGAGTTTCCAAGGCTGTAACCTTTCTTACAAAATGATACCGCACATCTTTCTCCCAAGAAGCAGTTGGTGGGTTTGAACTGCTAGGCTTTTGGTTAGCAACCAAAAGCACTGTTCTATTCAGGCTCCTTTTCAAAAGAGAAGCTGTCCCCTACGCTTTTTCTTGGATGGTTGCTGTGTGCCCCTAAGGATTTTCACTAATATCTTCAGTTAAAAGGCAGACAGCAATGGAAGGTGAGTTCAGCAATAGAGACAATAACACTAAAAACAAATTTTTAAGACCAGGGCTGCTTTTCCTTATTACCTTATGGACAGCCAAGAAAATAATACTGAAAAGAGGAGAGTAAGTGAGTGAGTGAGTGAGTGAGTGAGTGAGTGAGTGAGTGAGTGAGTGAGTGAGTGAGTGAGTTGAGTGAGTTGAGTGAGTGTGTGTGTGTGTGGCGCTTGGGTAAGATATCAATCAAATGATAACCACAATACTTAGAGCAAACTTC